GCCGCCGGGCACGCCGGGAGCTGTAGTCCCGCTCCGGAGGCCGTGGCGCGGCGCGGGCAGGGCGGCGCCTCGCGCGGCGGCGCCTCAGCGCGCACAGCGGTAACGCGCGCGGCTTGCGCGGTAAAGCGGCGGAGCAAGGCCTCGGGAGACGGCACGTAATTCCAGCCAGCAGGGCTAAAAGCCTTGAGGAAAACTTCCAAGACCTAAACCTCAGCTTTCTTCTAAAACATATTCACGTTCTTTAGTCTCAAATATCCTGGTCTCACATGGAAAGCATTTGCTGTGGGGAGACACTGAAGGTGCTGTACCAGCTGGAGGAGATGCTGCTGGTGGTTTAGAGTGCTTGAAATTTAGCCCCGTGTCCTTAAATTAAAAAAAGAAAAAAAAAATTAAAAACCCAAACCSATCAAACAAAAAATCAAAAAACACTGTACCTGTCTCTGACACAGCATAATGTTTTAACCTTTTGCACTTCTTTGGTATCCTTAYTYGACAAAGCTCAACAAGCCTGTAAGTATCAATCCTGTGTGCAAAACCTTTTGAAATATTTGGGGTGATTCAATGTGCCACAAATGTGTCATTTGCATCTTTGTTTTTAATTTACTGAGGAGCGAAATGAGGCAGAGACTTTGAGCAGCCTGCCAGGGGTCACGTACCACAGGGTGAGGAATGGTGTTGAAATGCAGCATGAGCTTAGTGACCCTTTTGGTTCCATCCCCACTGCTGGCTGCCGCCCAAACACACTCCCAATCTGAGGCATGTACTCCATGCTCAGTGTGAAGATGGCACCTGGGTGGGTAGACAGGCTGGGTAGACAGGCTACCTCACGGAACATGAAGCCTCACCAGTGGCCAGCTGTTGTTCAGCTCATAAACCACATCAATGTCCCATGAGCTGGGGTTGCAAATGGGCTTAGAGCCTGGTTACCTGGCAGTGCTGTTGAAACCAGTGTCAATAGTGGCATATTTGAAGTATGAGGAAACTAGCCTGCCTCTCCCCCTCTGATTTAGTCACTTTTTCCCCCTACTGTCAGTGCAAATATCTTCATTGGATGCAGAATTTAGTACTAAGCATTCTTTATTTTCAGCTAGTGGGAACTGAAGGCTAAGGATTTATCATGGCATTTCTGCAATTATATGGACCATTACCTTAGCAAACTGTGTGTGCTTTTTGTTTTGTAAAAGATATTTAGATATATCCTCTTTCTGAGAGAGAAAGAATCTCCTCATTGTCCTGTATAATTCAAAGCACAGCTGGTACCAGGGCTTCTGTGTAATCTATAGGCTTCCCTCATCAGCCTTTCAGCAAAAACACCCCYGTCTTCATTTTCACTTGCATTGTCTTCTTGTTAGTAGAACAATACCTGGTAAGAAATGCAAATGTGCAAATGTATTGGGCTGCAGAAGCTTCACCAGAAAAAGGGCTTCCGTCTGTAGAAGAACTGAATTCACTTTCACATGCTAGGAAACTTCCAAGGGCAGATGAATCCAAAGGGAGGGGATTTTATTTTCTATCATTTTTCAGGAGCAACAGGAAATGAGGCTCTGGGGGGAACTATTCCAGGGTATGAGTTTACCATCTGTGGCCTCTTGAAATTAATTAGTTTGATTGATCAGTTCAGAGAGCTGCAGTATATTTGGTGCCGCTCTCTGTAGTGTTGTGGTACCAATAAGTTTAACCCAGTGGAGGCAGTGTGCTGAGGGGCTGCCATCTGGAGTCATCTCAGGGCAGGGGTTTCCTGGGACAATGGATGCGCTGCTAGGTTTGCGTGGCGGGACGCACTGCGCAGTGAGTCTTGTGAGTGCCAGTGGCTTATGCAGGTAATGCCAGTTGCTTTTGCARGTATTCTTACTCTTCATCTCAACAGTCTGATGAGAAAAGGAAAGCCAGCTGTGCAGCATTAGATTATAGAGATGTGACATTGTCTGTTCTATCTYGAGATGAATTACCTGAAATATTTGGCAATGGCCTCAATGCCACAAGTAACTTGTTCCACAGAAATGTGGCAGTATCTGTAAACTATGCATTGGAATAGATCAGAAGGTGAGGAGAAGAAATGTGGCATCTTATTTTTTTTTTCCTAAAAAACWTGAGATTTGCGGAATTATTGAGTTGAACAATAGCATTCCAAAGGAAAAACTGCAGTAATGGTTAGAGCCAGGATTTAAGAGATAGGAAATCTGTCTCTTTAGATCTGTGAGATCTATGTCCTGACTCTGCTGCTGCATTTGACCAAACCAAGGTAAGTCACTTTTGTCACCTTCATGACAGGAAGACAGTGTTACTTCCCGTGTAACATAAAATTTTGTTTTGGCATTTATTAACATCAGTCATCAGCTTAGAGATTGTGTAAATATAAATAGAATGAAAACATTAAAAACAGTAACTCTGCTTTACTATCCCTGGGACAGTAAACTTAATGTAAACAGTAAACGGGATGTTGCTTAATATTGTAATTCCTTGCTTTAGGGATCTTTTATAATCTGAACTGTTTTGTTTCTAAACCAATAAGACTATCATTTTCTAAGGAGATAAGCAGAATTTTCCTGGCCGGTAAAGCTTCAAAAATGCCAGATCCTCCYGGGGAAGAGGATCATTGCCTTTTTAGAGGACTCTTCTATAGAAGCAACCACATTGCTTTCCTCTGGATAAAGATTTACCTTGCCTTAAAAAGAGCAACAATCATGCATGCTTAGCCTAAGGAGTTAATTGTATAGAATAACTTTGGGAGAGAAATAGCAGAGATGCAAAGGTGGGATAGATAACAATCACTGATGTGAAGGTGTATTTGGCCAGAGAGAGCATTTACTTATGAGTCACATATTCAGAATAAAGATATTGCCTGCCAGTAAACACAGCTGGCATCATACTGAATTCATATTCCAATCCACCTCCTATTGTTGCCATTTCCTCACTGTAGGAACCTTCTCATTATGAGGAAATAATAACATGTTTGCTTTAATATCAAAATCCAAATGCTCAGGGGTGGTCAAAAGGCAACAAAAGTGCTTAGTAAAAATGTTTTATCTGAATATGAGTAAACTTTTTGTTCTTTTCTTTACCTTTTGTTTTTCCTTCTTTGGCACAGTCTGTAGCTGGTATCAAGGTCCAGACCTCCAAAATCAAATTTCCTGGTGCAGTAAAAGATGGAGCATGAGACAACATCATGTGAGGAAGGCAGGTGCTGTGATCGATGTGCTTATCAGGAGCTTCCGAGAAACAGGAGTTAGCTGCTGTGCCACAGGTATTTCAATCTGAGCTTGAAAAAAATCACTCAAAAGAATGGGATGGACTGGTCTGCAAGCCAGGAGGACTCCTAGGTCTTCCTGCAGCCCCTTTTGCTGGTGATTTCATATCTACCCCTCCTAGTGGGACCCAGGATGAGAGCCTCTGCTTGCAAAAGATCAGGAGGGGATCCCCTTTAGTATATAAAGAAAAAGAATGGGGAGTTAAGGGGAGAACTGTGTGTATTTTGTATATGAAGTGTTTCTCTTGTACAACTGTAATGAAAGAAAAAAATCATGGAACCACAAGCCAAAAATCAAGAGATGGAAAGCTGAACGGCAACATTTCAGTAAGTGAGTTTAAAACATCATGTCATATTTTTTTATATAGTTATATAACTCCATTGACACATAACTAGTTGACAAAAATGTCATCTTCGTTATAGTCCAGCAAGTGAAGTGGGAGCCTACAATAAATATATCTGAGAAGCAATATATTCTGAGGAAAAAGTTTTGCTGTTCATAATGTATCCAAAGTAAAAAACAAGGCTAAAAAGGCAAGCAAATAACTTATCAAATTCCATTCCAGACAGTTTTTATTTGTCTTAGGAAGTAAAAAGGGAAAGGAATAAATTTAGCTTCCTTACAATTCTAGGCTGGAAAACTTTAACCTTTTGCACTGCAGGGAAGGAAGCCCACAGTTCAGGCTCACTGGGGCTGCCTGTGTGGGGCAGCCGGAGCTAGAGATGCGGGCATAGGAAAGATTCGGTGCCTTTCGCGCGCACTCCCGCAGCAGCCAGGGCAGGACAATGGCCGCTTCGCTCTGGCTCTCTGCTCCGGCCGGGCTGGCTGCGGAATTGCACCCTGCTGCCACTGGGACATCCCTGCTGTGGCTGTGGCCAGGGGGAAGCTGCCCTCCTGCCGCCTTCCCACCATAGGTGCTTCTCCTCAAGAGGCAGAGCAGGAGAAAGCACAAGAGATTTTGTTGCCTGAGTTACTTCTGCATTTTTTTTTTTTTTTGGTCTGATTGTTTGTTTTGATGGTGTTTCTTTGGCAACAAGCAAGCACAAATAATAGGGAAGAAATCTCCACTGAACGTGCTTGTGAACTTGGGTTTTCCAGTATGGGCTGCTTGCTTGTAGTCATATTCTCCAAATGGGACTTTCCTGAAATGTCTCCAGCTTCCTAAGGTCACATTTATATTAGCTTACATATCATGGTTATGTCAGCCTTTCCATGGCAGGGTTAGAGTGGGAGGTCTTGTTACTGAGAAACTTGCTTAGAAATACTATCAGAAGGGCATTTTTTCTCCTAGATATTTGCTTTAGACAGTGCACTAAATAGTGCAGGAGAACATTTCTGGGGCTTCTGTTGTTAAACTGATTGTGCTCTTCTTGGCATGGTTTCCACACACACCAACTATCACTCTTGCAAACAGCTCAAGGGGATGGGTCAGGAGTTAGCATGGGCTGGAAAGCCACACCAACGAGTGGCCATGCATGTGCCAGCCCTCTCTAGGAAGCTGAGACCCCTGAGCAGCTGATGCCATTTTCTGACAGTTGGTTTCAGCACCAGAAAACAGTGCAGGACATACTTGATTTGCTATCACAAATATAATTTTTATGTTCTTGTCTTATACCTTTTGCTCCAGTTGAAATGAGTTTTTCAGAAAAGATGGTGTGTCAGTTTATTCTATCTCTCAGGCATCTATTACCAGAGACTACAACAGTCCCCCTTGTTTTTTTGTGCCAAAGGACAGAGAGAAACTGCAGACCATGAGCAAGGATAACATGTTGAAGCCCAGGCTTTGAATCCGCAGATGCAGAACCCTTTGCTCTCTGTGGCATGTTGGCAGAGCCCTCTGCTGGAGATGCAGAGAGCTCGGGGCAGAGGCATTTTTCCTGCACGGGGTTACTGGTCTGCAGGCTGGCACTGTCGCCCAGCAGGTAGGCAGCCTCTCACCTAGGTGGAGGCACTACCAGCAGACCTAAGATTTTCTTTGTGTGTGTGTTCCTAGGAAACACTGCTCTGCTGTCAAAACGTTGTAGACCACTTTAAAACTTTGTACATCTGTTAAAGGAGCCCCTTTCAATTTTAAATATGATTTAAAACTAATCTAGCTAGAGTAAAAGACAACAGCAAGTATTTGGCACCTACCTCAAAAAGCATCTCTAGAACCAAGCACATCCTGGCTGACCTCAAGGTGATGACAACCTTAGTATAAACTAAGCAGAAAAGGAGGAGAATCCATTTCCCATTCAAAGCATGGCGGGTAAACACTTGCAAAATGGAAGGAACAAAATCTGACAGCAAAAAAGACACTGCTTAATCTGCCAGCTGGTTTGAATGATCCTTTTTTTAGATTCTGAAAGGCTGCAACTTGAACAGGAAATGTAGATTCCAAAGGACTTATTAGTCATAGAAATAATGATGAACTTAGAGAAGCTGTAAGAGCCTACTCAACAAGGAAGATTTGAACTATGAAACTTTGCCAGCAAACACTGTTGGGTAAAACAAGCAGACACCGTGCCCTCTGACCAGCTTAGATGTACTGACAAAACTCTTCATGCAGATCCAGCTTCTCTGAAAGAAAAATATTTTGTTGCTTAAGGTATTCAGAGACCTGAGTGATTAATGAATGCAGAAAATATATATATATATTGTGAGAAAGCTGAGAAAGCCTGTGTGTTAATATAGCTACTCTAACACATTCTCAGAAATATAGAGAAACTCCAAGACACTAGAGAACTATTCCCAAGTGGCAGATGCTGTAAGTGCTCTGACAGCCGCTCCAGCCCTTTGGAACTTCCTGAACGCCACACTCAACATGCGGCAGTTACAGGTAGATCCCAGCAGGCTCTAAATAGGCACAGCGGGCAAGCCCTGCTCAGAGCTCTGCAGGGCAGGAGTCAGGAAGGCCAACTCAGGCATCCTGCAGACAAATGGCTTAAAGAGGAGGTCGTGGAGTAAATCTTGTCCATATTTTCCAGCTATGACAACTACACTGAAGAAAAAATACCCTATCTTGCTGTAGTACTTTCGAAGTACTGGTGATTATTTTTAAAGTTGACAGCAAGTAATACAAGAAAAATATCCCAGGTATAAAATAATATATTGATTGTCATTATTTGTATTAGGATACAGCCAGTGTTCTCATAGTTCATAGTAAAATGTTCTCATAGTTCATAGTAAAATGGACAGTAATAATCATCCATATTCACTAAAGGATAAAGGATGTATTATTTGTGTATTTTAAGACTTGTGTATAAAAGACAATCACATGAAGCTACTAACTTTGTGTTTTCTGTTGCTCCTTATTAGGCAAGGTGAGAGGAATGTGTGTGAAACTTGTAAGATAGAGTTGCATATCCAGTACTAGGGATCCTTGGGCCAGAAGTACTTCTGTTGAGCACCAGAAAAAATCATTGATGGAACGGTGGATCTTCAATTGCGTTTCAACCACTGGAGGACAGAAATAGAAAATGTCGGGCAATTCTGAAAAAAAAAAAAGGCAAGAAACTCCCTTCCCTTCCCTTCCCTTCCCTTCCCTTCCCTTCCCTTCCCTTCCCTTCCCTTCCCTTCCCTTCCCTTCCCTTCCCTTCCCTTCCCTTCCCTTCCCTTCCCTTCCCTTCCCTTCCCTTCCCTTCCCTTCCCTTCCCTTCCCTTCCCTTTTTATAAAATATCTGACAAAAAGTAAAGCAGCTGTATTAAGTATAAACATATAGTAACAATACTGTTGTACGAAAACAAAGCAAAGTTAAGCAAAGCTTCTTTAGAAATGAGAAATAGTTTGCTATTATTATAGCTAGTAAGGAGAAATTTCTGCTGTTTATGCCACAGCCCGGTAGAAGTTCTTCACTTTTAAATAGCTACTCTTGTGTTTCTTATTAGGGATGGAATAGAACTAACCTGGAGATATTTAACATATCTTTTTTCCTGTTGATCCAGCTAAAATGGAGGGTGATAAAATATACCAGTTTCAAATTGGAAAGCATTATTTTGCAGATGTAAACAAAATGGAAGGTCATAACCATAGGGCTGTGAAATAATATGTAAATTTAGACTGGGGTTATAATGCAGATTGAGAAAAAACTCATGTTTTTAAAGAGCTTGGAAAATAACCATGACATTCCTATGTATTTTTATTACACTGTGATTAAAAACTCTCTCAAATTAAAGACCAGCCATAAATCTGGCCTCCACTCTATGGGAACTATAATAGTTCAGTACTGGCAATTTCAAAATGAGCTGTCTTTATTTGAAATAGGTACTAGAATTATAAATCTGTAGTGCATGAATAATAATATAATTTTWAATTAATTAAAATATATATATAATTTTATGTACTGTGCATCAAAAATAAYAGAAGAAACAAGGGTTTTGCTCATACTTTTTTTCCTCTACTTCCACACCTTCATGTCATAAATAGAGAAGCTGATACAATGTAAACAGCACCTCARTGCTTGTAAGAAAAAGAAAATTGGATTGTTTATCCGATTAAAGTTTTTGGACTGGACTCCTGAATTAATGCACTACATAGGGAACCAAGTACATGTCAATTGAACTAGGCATGGACTATGTGATGACCCAGAGACAGACTCTGTGCCCCGGGTGTTTAGCAGAAGAGCCCTGCGGAATTTCAAGGTGCAGGACTGCAGAAGTGCCACCCCTCGGCCCCTCAGTAGTTGTGAGCCCCACAGAAGAGTGAGGAGGAGCAGTGCCTGCTTGTGACAGCTTTGCCAGCAGCCAACCCAGGCAGGAAATATTGCTGTGTGGTGGCTGGGCAGCAGGCAGACCTGCCCTTCTGCTAACCCTGCTGCAGAAACAGCTGTATCCTGTAGAGGGAGAGACGTGGGGAGTGATCGTTTCTYAGGACATTACGGCAAGATTTGTCACAGCTTGTATGTCAAGGCCCTTAAATTTTTCCTTTTGTGCAGCCTTTTGAGATTTACAGATAGGAAGCTTTTGGCAAGCGTCAAATATGTTTACCTTTCAGAAAGCAAGCCTATTGAAAACCTATTCAAATAAGACTGCTTGACAGCAACCTTTGAATGTGCATTGATTTTAGAATCTTTGCAGAATGAAAACAAGGCTCTTGTATTTAGCATTTTGACACATAATTCTTTTTACTGTAATTCAGACACATTGATTGGTCTGTGCGATTCAGGAAAGCTCCTGTATTGATTACTGGACCTGACAGATAATCCTGGCCTTAAGGAGTTCTGTATTAGACTCCTTTCCTCCTAAAATTTCCCATATTTATTTCCTGTTGGTGAAGCACATTGATTTGGTGAGAGGAGAGTAGGAAGGTACATTGTTGGCAGTATTAATGATGTTGACCTTGTTCTTCATGGCTTCAYATTCTTATTCATTGTCAGAGTTTGTCGTTTGTTGCAGTGGGACATTTTCTGTTTGCACTGATGAGACATTTGGCCTCATCTGTAATCACTAAATAACTGATTTTTACTGATCTTACGATGGGCAAAAACATGTGGCTTAGCATTCTGGTCTGTGCTCTTCAGTGCCAGGTCTCAGTGGCATTTTAGATTGCAGTGTTCCGTCTTTCCTGGCCTCTCAGTTGAAGCAGAYAGTGCATTTCCAGTTTCAGTTGCTGACATTTGATACTCTTTGGATGGGGCTGCTGGTTAGAGGATGAGACCASTGATGACAGATGTGACCCGTAAGGCTCTGTGCTAAGAGCTACTGTCTGTGTGCTGCCTAAGTCTGCGGACACTTCTCTGTATTAAAACTGGGAAGTGGGCAGCCTAACACGGTTGTGAAGAAGTCACTGCACATTAGTGGTTCATTTAAGATAATTCCCTTGTTCCCTGCAAGATGGTGCCCATACATTTTGCCAGGGCAGACTATGCCAAGAAATGCAATGTCTGCTTTCACTTGTGCCCGGTCTTGCTGCTGAAGCTGCCAGCAGAGCTCTGCTGTAATGGCACATGTAAAGCTGCAGTTGGGACCTAGGACTACAAGAAGAATCCTGTTAGCTCATTTCTTGCAAGACAGGTGACAGATCAGTCTCCATTTGTTTAAATTACATCTCAGTAAAAGGATTCATATCCCATTAACAGGGCTTGAGTCATTCAGACCCAATGTTGACATTGATGGGTTTTATTGGTTTGAAATTACAATAAAGAGCTTAATTCTGCCCTACTAGTTAGGAATATCTTTTCATTCATACACTTGGTAGTTCAAAAGGATTACAGGTCTAGGTAATAGGAATTAATAATAAAGAAAAATAGCTGCCTATAATGTCTTGATCAGGTGAGTAATTACAAAAGAAACTAATTCAAAATCTTTTCTTTTTTTTTTTTTTATTTTTTTCTCTGATTTTTTGGGTGATTTAGACCTCAAAAAATGAGACATACCCTGTACAYTCCAAAATTCCCCATAGTAATGCCACAAAACAGAGAACAGAATTTTAAGAACTAAGAAACTGGAATATAAATGATATCTGTCTTTCTTCTGCAAAAGCTTCTCTCTCATCACAATCACATGCTTAAACTACCAAAGCATCCTAAGGTGAATGTCAAGACAAAWGCTTTAAAAATGTCCTTCCCTGTATTATTAACATCACCATGGGCTATTAAAATTAAAGTGCTCTTTAAAATATAATTGATGTTTCATTATTTGTCTGCTGTTATCACTGTTCACTTCCCTGGCTATCAGGAGTGACTCCCCAGAGAGATGTTACATATCTCTATAAATATATTCTAGTTTCTCACCTCTGGCTATTTTGAAATAGCAAAAATGCAGCTGTGTTTGTGTGTCTATAGTTTCAGGACATCAGCCAACCTCTGAGAGAGGTATAGAAAGAAACTTCCCRTTGGCAGCTTGTTCTTTATATTCTTCTGCAGATTTTTATATATTTCTTTAAAACATCTGATATTAGTGGGCAGGGTTTGTGAGATGATGAATGCTGTGGACTGCTGAACTGCTGGAAATTCCTATCTGAGATTAACCTAGGGCAAGAGAYGGCTCTCAGTCTGGAACCTGTTATGGTTGGCCAGTCAGGTGCAGGGCAGCTTGATTCACCTGGAGACCACTGTGACTGCCTTAGCGTGAGGCAAACTGGCTTCATCCAGCTGTCACCTCCACATACATTCTGATGTATATTCTAAAGGAAGAAATAGCTTTATTTCCTTGACAGCTCTCATAGACTGAGAATATATTCAGTTTGCTCTGATGGCTGGTTAATTTTATGGTTACATTTATATTTGCTTCATAATGGCAGAAATTATCAAATTACTTTAAGACTCAGATTATGTTTATGTGAAATATTGTGCCACAAACAAATTGAATGCATGTAGCTGTCGGCCTTTTATCAGTAGGATAATTGTGAAGTATGAAACTATGAARTAATGATCATGCTTTTAAGGAAAGCTCTTCAAGTGGATTACACAATAAGCACAGAGGGAGTCTCCATCCCCAAGCTGTGATCTGTTACACAGTAACTGAAACATATTTGATAGAAATTAATGCCACATTGTTTTCCTCAGAAGAAATACCTATAATCACAGGGTGTGTATTCATTGTATCTCACAATCCCCATTCCCGAACAACTGGTTTGGACATCAAGGTAATGAGCTCCATTTGAAAGCAGTGGGGCCCTGACACTTGTTTTTCATTGAGAGGGCAGAGTGGCCTGGAGATGCAGCCCCGGGGCACTGAGGCAGACCTGCAGYCGGCTTCAGGAGATCAGAATGAAAGCAGGAAGAAAAATCAGAGCCAGCATTTCTGTTTCCTGAGCCCGTGAGGTTTTAGGCTGTGTTCCCACTAGAAGAGCATACACTGAGATTTGCCCCAAAGTTAAATGTTTTATCTCACCTTAGTCTCTGACAGTCTTTGATATTCATTTTACTATTCTTCTGCACTGATCAGCACAAGTTCTTGAATCAGAAATGGACTAAATTTGGAATAATTAGGTAGACTACGACAACAAAACAGAAGTTTATTTTCTAAACCATGGCTACAATCCTGAGGGATAAGACTGAGAGGTTTGTTGAGGTTGAAAGCAAACAAAACTGTCTTCCATGTGTTCCCCCGTGATGCCTTAGGCAGCACCACACGGGAGTAGCTGCTGGGGCCGTGCYCAGCAGGTCGGGCTCTGCAGGAGAAGGGGCAAAGCCGGGCCCAAGCGCACAGTGCCGGGGTGCAGAGATGCGGCCGTGGCTCTGCAAGCACGTGCGGTGCAAACCAGGCTGCCGTGCGCTAGGAGGCCGCTGGAGGGGTGCCCTCATCCCCTACCATCCACGGGCAAGGTTTGGCTCCTCTGTACAGGAGAGGCCACTGCAGGCAGGGGGCACAGTGCTGCCTC